AAATAAATAAATAAATGTTACAATAGCTTAAGTTACTCCCTTGTCCCAATGGAAACCAACAATAAAAGGCTTCTACTGTTACAATAGCTTAAGTTACCAGTATGCTGTATCTTAATTTCTATTAAACTCCACTTGACTGGTGGTGAAACTACATAAAAAGTAAACAACAAATGTTTCCATGAATAAATAACATAGACTACAGAACAACTCCAAATCTCTGGAGAAAAAAAAACCCACTCCATACACAAACAATAAGTATGTCTACACTAGCAACAGAAACGTATACTGGATCGTGTTGATTAATTGGTATCAGTATCCCCACATGCCAGGAACCAGATTTGCACTGGTGACACACGGATTTCTAGTCCTCTGCTTCACCAACTGAGTTATCCAGGCTCTTCCACTGACCCCAAACTATTTAAATTAGAGGTAGAAGGGACTGGGTAGATGTCAGAGTTATTCAAATAAATAGACTATATAAAGCATAACAAAGTCCTGCCCAGGCCCTGGAATATCTTGGTCTTTGTATCTTCAAAACAATAGTTTGTAAATGCAATTTAACTAAAAAGAATATATGGACTGTGTATGATCAAATGGGTTTTTATGAACTTATGTACCCAACAAATATAAAAAATTATATAAACAGAACATAGCTCAAAAGATAACATATATCAAACTATAACACAAACGATGATGAAAAATTGATTCATACCTTCACAATCTTATATATGTCAGATCCCCCGGAAGAAGTACCACCTTTGGCAATCCTGCCACTCATTCTGTTGTTTCCGCCCCTATTATCACCTATTTTCTTTTGCTTGGCAAAAGTATCCTGAAGCTTCAAAAAATTGTCCTCCCTAAACTGTTCATTCTCGTCTACAACTAGATACAATCCAGCTCCACCCAAAGGAAAAGCATAATGTTGCAAAGGGGTCGGCCGAAAATCTGTATAGACTACATGACAAGGCTGTTTATGCAAATAGCAAATCCACTCAGCAAACTCAGTTGCATTCGACATAGTAGCAGAAAGAAATACCATCTTAATAGCTGGTGGAAGAAATATAATGCTCTCCTCCCAAACAACCCCTCTTTCACGATCTTTCATATAATGAATTTCATCAAATATAACCCAAGCAACTTCCTTCAAAACTTCAGAACCCCTATAAAGCATTCCTCTAAGAATTTCCGTAGTCATAACCAAACAACTTGCATTAGGCGAAATTGTAACATCTCCTGTCATCAACCCAACATCTGTAAACTCTTGACTTAACTCTCTATACTTCTGATTACTCAATGCTTTCAATGGCGACGTATAAATAACCCTTTGTTTATCTCTAAAAGACATTGCAATTGCATATTCAGCAACAGCAGTTTTACCTGCTGAAGTATGAGCTGAAACCAAAACAGACTCTTTTCTTTCTAAACAAGCTACAGAAATTTCTTGAAATGGGTCAAGCTTAAATGGGTAGGTTTTCGCCGATACTCCCGTAAACATTGGATTAGATAAAGTTCCATAGATTGATTCATCTTTAGTAGGTGAATAATCATTTGGAACTGCAACTTCATGAACACATGTACGTGTTAAATTAGGCTTTTTCGACACTGATTCGGGTTTTGGGATTTCTTCAGATGGTTCTTCTGTTGTTGTTGTAACTAAATCTTCTGGTTCTTTTCTCTTACCTAAAGATGTAGATTGTAATGAAGAATCCTCCATTTCTTTCTCAGCAAAAAATGCTCAGCAATGTTAACAACAATAATATGATTTCAGCTACACTACAAACCCCTAAAATCCTAATTCAAGCTCTCAAAAGATAGATTTTTAGAAATAGAAATGATTAGGGTTTAGGGTTTCTCTTACCTCTTGATTCTTGAACAGAGCTGATGAAGAAAGAAAGAATCTATGCAAGCAATACTGAAAAAAAAAACCCTAATATTGGGCCAAAAGAAGGCCTGGTTTGATTGGAGGCCTGGTTTATTTTATGGCCTGTAAATGACTTGACCCGGCCCAATAAGACTGACTTGGGAAAGAGGTTACATTGGATCTAAAAACACCCAAATCAAATCTCTACTTCGTCTTCTTCAGCTCTTCTTCTTCTTCAGCTCTCTCTCTCTCTCACTGCAACTCGAGTAGGGTTTTCTATATTATTCTTTTTCTCTCTCTCTTGTCAATTTCTGTATTCCATGGATAATTTCAACATGAACGCACCTCATTCAATGGGAACAACCATCATCGGTGTTACTTACGATGGAGGTGTTGTTCTCGGCGCTGATTCTCGAACTAGTACAGGTGATTCTTCGATTTCTAGGGTTTAAGGAGTTTTT